ACTCAATTTTGGTGGAGTGGGAAGGGTGTTGAGGCAAGGACTCCAGTCCCAGCCTATACTGGCCTTGAACTTGTTATGTAGGTAGGAATGACCTTGAACTTCTGATCCTCCTGACTCAGGCGTACACCAATATGCCTGGTTGCCCCCTTTCTCCTCACTTGACTTTCCAGCGAAACAAGAGAATAGGACCTGTGACCAAAATAGGTTATGTTAATGTCAAGAGCTTGGTCCTATGCAAAAAAGTATTTTTTGGTGTCAACTGATAAAACATTCAACAACAAGTCAGTCTTGAGCTCCTCACTGTCAAGGGATGAAGCTCCTCAGATTGCTTAGAAATCAAGAGATTTTAAAAGCAGCAAAACCCTGCATTAACTCTCAAGTGTCTTCACTTAGATTAAGAGGCTATGAAAGAAAGAAGCTAGGGGCCAGCTCTGGGGTTTCTGTGAACTTCCCGAAGGCCAAGGAGAGGCTCACCGCGAGGGCAATGTACAGAAACCCGGACAGCTCCAACCTAGCTTTCACCTGAGACCAAAGATCAGCTTCCACTGTAAAGCCACCCGTAGGGCCAGCAGGGCGGGCCGTGGGGCTGCAGCCAGGCCGGGGTGAAGTCCCTCAGGGGTGTGCCTTGGGCTGGTGGCCAGACGCAAGGCAGGACTCAGTCCAGGGTCCCGCCCGGCCCAGCCTGGCCCTGCCTGCCACCCGAGGCTCACGTAGCAGGAGGGTGAGTCAGAAACAATCCTCACAGTGCAGCCCGCCGGCCTCCTGGGTCGGGGACGCCCCGCTTGGCCCGCCTGCGGCTTTCACACGCCCAGAGGCATCCCCCAGCCCCCAGAGGCCGGCAGAGATCAGCCCGAGGGTGGTCCTTCCTCAGTACAATCTTGACCTTCTCCTGATCCCCAGCTTGGCTGGCTGGCTCACACAGAGAGATGGGGAGAGGGAGAGAGAGGGAGAGAGAAGGGTGCTGTAGGGGTCACGACCCGGACGGACTGGGAGTTGAGCTGACAAATCTTTGAAAGGGGGCGGGGAGCCCCTTATCAACCGCATCTCTCTTGGTGTAGGGACTGGCTTGTGTTTCCTGAAACCTGCACCTGTTTAGTCCTAACCACCGGACTTTATAAAAGGAAATTGCCTACGTGCCTGACAGCTGAAGGACAGAATTAGAAGTACTCTGCTGAATGTGTGAACGCAGCAGGACCTCCTGTTAAGTTCTGGACCTACAGGGTTGCGAGCTGGGGCCTCCCAAGGGCACAAGGAATTTCAAACCTCCTTTACTCTTCCCCCAAGTTATTTTCCCCAAGTTAGGACACATTATAAGGCTTTTTTCTTCATGTATTTGTAATGCAAAGATCACTCCCCCCCCCCCCCCCCCCCGCCTTTTCTTTCTTTTTTCTTTTCTTGTTTTGGTTTGTTGGTTTGGTTTTTTGAGACAGGGCCTCTCTACATAGCCCTGGCTATTCTGGAACTCACTACATAGACCAGGCTAGCCTTGAATTCACAGATATATATATATATATATGCAGCTGCCTCCCTAGTGCTGATATTAAAGGTATACACTACCACAGCTGGCCTAATGTCCTTTTTTTCTGTATGCAGCTGCCTCCCTAGTGCTGAGATTAAAGGTATACACTACCACAGCTGGCCTAATGTCCTTTTTTTCTGTATCTATTTATTTGTGTATATGCCTATGTGAGTGTTCGAGTGTTAACATGGCACCGCTGTCTTGTGGACTGTTGTCTCCCTCCACTACGTGGACCCCGGTACTGAACTCAGAGGGTCAGTCTTGGCGGTAACCACCTCTACCAGGTGAACCATCTCACCAGCCCCAAAATGTTACTTTTTCAAAACTTGTGGGAAGGGTTGAGCTATCAGAGACAGAAGGATGCTTTTGAAGGGAAAGAAATACATGTGGAAGGGGAGAAGGGAAGGGAACCCAGAAAAAAAAAAAAAAGATTAACAGAGCAATACGGGCCCCAGAATGAAAGCCACTGTTTGAACTCAGAGTGGAAAAATAAGTACTACCCCAAGGACCCTGCTTCAGGGCTCCAGGCTGAGGGAAGCTGCTAACCAAGTAGAGGTAGACATAAAGGAGGCTTAAAAGAATGGTTCAGCACCCAGACAGTGGCTGCAATGTCTAGATTCTGTGATGGTTCTGCAGCTTGCAGGCTGTGAGACCTTAGCCAACTAACGGCCACCATTGCTCTTCATTTTCCTCCTTCAAAATAGGAGAATCGTGAAATCAGGACTTACGTTTAGGACTTTTCAGAGAAGTAAATATATTAAGACAAGGAAAAAAACAGAGTAATGTCCCATGTTTAGTAGGCACTCGATAAATATTGCTTCAAATGTGGATACAGGAGATGAAATTAAAAGTCCCCAGACACAGTAGAGCAAGCTGTGGTGCACTGCACAACTCCAGAAGGCTCAGTCACATAGATGTGGATATAGCTTTCCTGGGCTGTTCAGGGTGAGAATCCCAAGGACAAGTGTGACCGTTTTAGTACTGCTCGTAGTAGCAAAATAATAGACATTCAAATGCATTTGTTTGTAAGTTGTATATGGGGGCATTTGCACAGTAACATGCCATTACAGCTTTTATAAGAAATAATCTGTATATATGTGCATCAAAGCTGTTATGTCTCAAAAATACACTGAATAAAACAGCAAGATGCAAAATGACATCTGTAACATGATACTATGTAAGGAAAGAAGATATAGACAGTACAAGCTAATATAATTTGGGTATGTAAACATATTTAATACTGAAAGAATGCATTTAACTTATTGCTATTTCTGAATAGAGGAAGATTGCATTTGTCACGATACCATCGCAATTTAGCTTTTTCCATGCTGCAATGATTACTTCAAAGGATACACTTGAATATGAGGCAGCTTATTTTGTTTTAAGGTAAAGGCCAATCCTAGATGTAAGTATGTCAACAGTTGTGGCTAACTGTGGGTTGCAGGACTATGGGTGTCCACTGTTTTTTCATTTGGACTCTTCGGCATATTCAAGTTAAAATTAATTATGCTTCCAAGGGTAAGCGCTCTGACAAATGCATAAAGGGGAGAGCATTAATTATGCTTCCAAGGGTAAGCGCTCTGACAAATGCATAAAGGGGAGGGCCTGGAGCACACATCTTGGGTGAAGTCAGACTTTCACACCCATAGACTTTAGTCACAGTAGAAGACAGAGAATGGTCCCCCATCTCCTCTCACTCCACCCTGGGGTGGAGACTGGCCACAGGTTCTGCTGTTTGGGGTGTTGTTGATTGACTCCTATATTTTGCAGCATCTTTCAGTTCTTGGTATCTCTAAAATACAGTGTTTTTTTGGGTACCTGCTGGGAAAATACCCAGTGACACTGGAGCCACTGAGATAGGAGACAGCACGCAGGCACACACAGTGCTGAAAACCAGGTGAGCTATTGAGTAGTCACACTGACAAAATGGTGATGAAGGAAATGAAAAGCTGGTATGCCCGTGATTCTCAGCAGAGGCTGAAAACACTTCTCTGGGTGTTGCCTCCTCTGAGAATCAGTGGAGTGAACAAAATTCCAGCTCTGGAGTCACTCACAGCTAGACTCAGGATGCCAATGACTAAGATGTGGAGCATGTTATGTAATGAGTTTCTGCTCTCTTCTCTGAAGCGGGAATCAAAGTGCTATCGAGGGGACAGAACGGCATGATGAAGCAAAGCATCTGAAAGTAGCCACAGGAAGTCCTGGGAAATGGAGCTTGCGTGTAGATCAGGGACCGGTGTCTTTGGATCAAAGATGAAGCCTGTTTGGGGGAGATTTTCATCTTATCCTTGGGTTGTTCTTTGCTCTGCTGAAGAGCTACACAGCCGTGTGGGAAAGGATGAAAGCAGGACCTCAGTCACAGGAAAGATTGCTTGATACCGACATTCTTCAAGAGTTTTAGGTCTAGAAACAGTTGTTTAAGAAATATCATCACTGCCCCCTTAAAGATCCAGTTGTGGGCTTATCTTTTCCTTCATTTTTAAGTATACAAAATAATGGGTTTCACAGTTTCATAGACATACATCTTTGTGCTTTGCTCATATTTGCCCCCATAACTGCCCTACCCCCCATGCTGGGTCCCTTTCTCCCTACAAACAGTCCCCTTTCTGCTTTAACATCATGTGGTGTATGTTTGTGTGTGCGGGCGCATGTGCATGTGTTTAAATCTACATTCAGACTATGAAACAAGACAAGCAACGTTTCCTCCACTGCCCTCTCTTGTCCCTCCCTCTTACTTCCCTTTAGGACCCCCTCCCCCTAGTCAACCCCCTCTGACTATCACATCTTTTGCCATTGTGTTTTTGTTTCTTAATGGTCAAACGGTTCCCTGAAAATTTTAGTCTCCACATAGGATGCTCTGCCTCAACCCCACTGTGACAGGCGGGCCTTCGGAAAGAAGCTGGGGGCATTTTTAATTAGTGAAACACACCTAGGCTTCCTTCTTGGCACCCGTAAACAAACACATCTAAGGGACTTTTAACGTGCTGAAAATCCAAGATTTAACCCTGTCTCACAACTGCTCCAAGGGAGAGTGATGCAGGCATCTTGTTCCACCCAACCAGCTCCGGGGAGTGGTAAACACGCAGCACCGCTGGATGGTGGGACGTGCAGACTATCAGGGGAACAGAATGAGGCAGAGTTAAGCACGTGCTGTGACTAATCAAAGCCAGGGTGGGGTGTGGCCGGCATGAAAGAAATCGCCCTTTGGGCCCCCAGTACCTGACAGTCTGAGAAAACAGTCAGCCTCGCGGGGAGTGTTTATCCAGCTATGGGGGAACATGGCTGCAGTTATCTCGTTCACACTTTCCAAGCTGACCCGCTTCCCCGGCATGTTTGTTCAGGACAGGGTACCCACCCCCCCTCCACACACACACGCATCTGATCCATCCCAGGGGAAGTCCCATATACAGGAAGCTAGCAGACAGGGCACGCCTCCCTCTACTCTGACCTGGGAAGAAATACTGAAACCCTTCCCCAGGCAAGACAGCTAACACTCCTTCCTATATTTCTAATGTGAGTTTGGCAGGGTTTGTAGGGAGATTCCTAGCACAAGGCACTGTGATTGGCACCAGTAACCTTTGCAGTACTGACTGTTCGCTAAATGTAATTTGCTGCATTTTTTCTTTTTTCTTTTCTTTTCTTTTTTTTTTTTTTTTTTGTTTTTTCGAGACAGGGTTTCTCCGTGTAGCTTTGGAGCCTATCCTGGCACTTGCTCTGAAGACCAGGCTGGCCTCGAACTCACAGAGATCCACCTGCCTCTGCCTCCTGAGTGAGCCACCAACGCCTGGGGCATTTTTCAAACTAGAATAATCATTGTCGGTTGGGAGGGGGTTGCAAAGCCACCAACGCCTAGGGCATTTTTCAAACTAGAATAATCATTGTCGGTTGGGAGGGGGTTGCAACTTTTGTTTGCTCTTTGCTAGTATAGAAGTAATGTGTGGGCTACAAAAAGAAACAGATAAAACAGATGCATAAAAAAGAAATATCTTTACTTTTTATAGGATTGAAGAGTATCTGTTCAAAAGTTCGTGTCCACCCAGAACCTATGAAAGGAAAACAGAAGTAGAGCCCTTACAGAGGTAACCAACTTAAGGTGAAGTCCTACTAGAATAGGCTGAGCCCTAAGTGTGATATGATTAATAGCCTTATAAGACAGGGGAAATTTGAATATAGACATATAAGCAGAATTTTACAGATTTCAGAGACGAATGCTGGATGCCTGAAGTGACATCCCAAACAACACCAAGATCTGTTGCAAACCACCAAGCTGGACAGAACCTGCCCCTCCAGTATTCAAGAGGAATATGACCAGGTCTTGGATTGCAAACTTCTCCAGTACTTGAGGCAACCAGTGTCTTTTGCAGTATTCAAGAGGAATATGACCAGGTAGGTCTTGGATTGCAAACTTCTCCAGTACTTGAGGCAACCAGTGTCTTTTTGTTTTTCTGAGGCAGGGTTCTGAGCTAGAATTACAGTGTGTCCTGCCATACCTGCTCCAAGACAACAAATTTCTGTTGTTTAGAAGAAAAACACACCCCTGTCCCAGGAAACCAATAGAGCCTTGGCATCCAGCACACAGCGAGGCGCTGTGAGCATGCTCATTGCTGGCCTTCAGTTCTTTCTGCAGCCACACTTATCTAGGGAATGGATGTCTAGTCCACTTCCTCTGAGGAGATTTCAGCCGCAGCTCCCTGGATTGACCTGAGGCATCCACTGATTTTCCAAATGATTAAATAGCTGGGGGATTACTGAAATGTCCCCAATTCCTGCCATTACATCTACAAATTCAGAGTCCAAATCTGAAAGACCTTGTTACTTCCAGGTACAAGCAGAAGTCTCTCTGCCAGGTGGTCTGAGTGGCAGGTACAGCCAGGAGGGGACTGTGTACCAATCACACCTCTCAGGCTCTGTGTTCCAGGCAGCAGAACCTCAGCTAGTAATGTTTCAACCAGGAACTCTCCTTCCCCAGGCTTCTCCCAGCTCCGAAGAGAACATTGTCTCCACGTCCTTTACCCAGTAGACCATTGGCACCCCAGCCATGTTGGCATGCACTAGATAAGGCCCCAGTCACCCGCATTAGAAATCTTGGCAAAGGTTTGGGTTATTCTCCTTTCTTTGTTTTTTGTTTGTTTGTTTTGTTTTTGTTTCTTCTGTCCTTCCCCTAAACCATTCTGCCAAACCAACTAATGCAAATATTTTTAAAGATTTTATTTATTTATTTATTATGTATACAACATTCTGCTTCCATGCATATCTGCACACCAGAAGAGGGCACCCAATCTCATAAGGGATGGTTGGGAGCCACCATGTGGTTGCTGGAAATTGAACTCAGGACCTCTGGAAGAGTGGAAGAGCAGTCAGGGCTCTTAACCTCTGAGTCATCTCTCCAGACTCGAAAAGTTTTCTTTTTTTTTTTTTTTTTTTTTGAGATGGGGTTTTTGTGTGTAGTCCTAGCTGTCCTGGCATTTGCTCTGTACACCAGGCTGGCCTCTAACTCACAGAAATCCACCTGCCTTTGCCTCCTGAGTGCTGGGATTAAAGGTATGAGCCACCACCAGCAAAGCAAAGTTCTTATAACTCTCCCTTGTAATATTTTCACAAATCCATCTTCCATCCTGTTTTAGGGCTGACTAAGGTCAAGACCAGCAGCGATCCATCATTTGGTCATGAGTGTCTGAGATGCTGTGCGATGAGGATAGCAGCTTGCCTACGTGGTCTGTCTTCTCAAACCTCAATCCCAGTTTAATCAGAAGGAAAACACCAGGCAAGGCCAATTTGAGGGACCGTCTGAAAACCACTGTGCCATATTCCTTAAAACTGCTCCAAAGACTGTTTTTGACACTGCTTCTTGCCAAAGAAGTCTAAAGCAGACACGATGGTTTAACAAAATGAGGAATCTTCAAAGCATCCCAGGACAGAAAAAGAACATTTGGTAAACACCAAGGACACCTGAATACAGTTGAGACTTTAGTAATTATGCCTCAATACTGGTGTATGAGTTATGAAAAATATACCATACTAATGTAAGATTTAATAGCGGAAACTGCATGTAGGGGACAGGGAAATTTCCATACCATCTGGGCAATTTTTATGTAAATTAAAAAAAACTACCTTAAAAATTAAGCTAACTCAGCCAGGTAGTGGTGGCATACACCTTTAATCCCAGGACTCAGGACGAAGAGGCAGGCGGATCTCTGTGAGTTCGAGACAAGAGGTAGTTCCAGGATAGCCTCCAAAGCCACAGAGAAACCCTGTCTCAAAAAAACAAACAAACAAACAAACAAAAAAACAAAAAAAAAGAATTAAGCTAACTCAGGAATCATATGATTGTAAATGAGTATGAAGATTGGGTAATTAGGCATGGCCACGTCTGTAGGATGACCTCTTCCCCCCTAAACAACAAAATTACCATTAACTCCACCCACTCCAGTTTTCTAAACACTAGAATTCAAAGAACTAGCCACTCTTTTGATAACAGAGGACAAATTCCATTTTCTTCTTTCCCCTGTGTTCCAGAGATGTAAATATAAACCCATAATGCATAGAGCAATTGTTACATTAATCTTGTGTGTGAGTGCCGGGAATGAATCCAGGGCCTCCCACATCCTAAGCAAGTACTCTACCATTGAACTACTTCTGAGCCCTAAATTTTAACATTGCCCAATCACAATTCACAATAATATGGTCCCAAGTTGTTTGGATTTTTAAAAGATTTACTAATTATGTCTGTATGTGTATGTACATGTGATTCCAGTGCCTAAGGTGGCCAGAGGCATCAGATCCCCTGCAGCTGGGGTTCCAGGCCATTGTGAGCCGCCTGACACTGAGTATTAGGAACTGAACACAGGTCCTCTTCAAGAGTAGTAGGCACTCCTAACCACTGAACCATCTCTCCAACCCCCAAGTTTTCTTTCCCACTACATGCTCAACATAAATCCCCGTCCAGGCTACAGTGGTCATGATAAACTCTTATATATCAAAGCTACATGGCCAGGTTGTGTAAAACCTGCTGGGCCCCAGCTCAAGGCTTTCTGATTCATGAGGCCTGGAGCAAGGCCTGGGAATTTGCATCTATAACTAGTCCCCAGTTTCTGCTGCCGGTTGTGGTCCAGGGAGCATAATTTGAAAATCCCTTTCATGATTACTTTTCCTTCTTTGTGTGTCTCCATACCTTTAGAGTACCATCTGAAATGTAGTCAGCATTTATTGGGGTCATAGCCACATAGACTTGTAGGATTCAGCTATGAGCGTAAGCAATAAGACTCCTATTCTCATAGCGCTTGCATTTTAGTCACTAGAGATTAATAAACGAGTGAATCACAGGCCACACTGAGTACTCTGAGAGGATAAGAGAAGGATGAATAAATGTAGCTAAGGGGTATGGAGACTCTTGTGTGCCTGGCCACCAGACATTCACCTCATTCTCTGTTTTTGTATTACCATTGAATTTCCTAGCAATGTTGGCTGGCAAAATGGAGCCTACTTGAATTACTTCATGCAGGAATGCTTAGATAAAATAACTGACACTCAATACTTTATAAACAACAGAAACTCCTGATTAACAGCTTTGTTGTAGGATATTTTGATCACACTGTGGCACTCCAAGACTGTTAAATAAATAACAGTTAAACCTTGTATAGGGGAGGAGGGGTGGGAGTGGACCCAGGAACTAGTGGACCAGAACTAGCCATAGAGAAGCCAGCAATTTGGATAGAGAAGATGCACAGAAAAGAAAAGGCAGGAACTAGAGTTTGAGCTTTTTTTTGGTTCTGGGAAGAAGAGATATAAGGTCATCTTGTTGCTACCCAACCTCTCTGAGCTAACAGGTTTTCACCCCAGCCTTTGAATCTTGAGTCTTATTTATAAATAAAAAGATAGAGACTTCATTTAAACCTACATATCACAGACCTGGCTTTCTGGAAATCCTGCCAGGCCAAGGCCGGAGTGGCCAGTGGGGCACTGACTACAGGGCCATGGAGCCATAGATGATAATTAAAATATTAGTAGATCCACATGTAGCCACTAAGACAACAGAAAAACATCAGTTCTGATGGCTAAGACATCCGTCATCTGAAAGACTCCTGGAGGCTCAGGCCCCCAGGATCTCGGTCCAGGACTGCGATGACCCCAATCACTGGGGGAGGTGGAAACTTGATGCAAACAGCAAGAGGTTTTATTGTAGTTGTTTAACGAGCTAGCACCATGTTAGCTTGGGCCTTTCATCCATCCACCATGGTGGATGGCTAGGA